GGAGATGTTTGGTTTATGGATTAGAATCATGAGATTAGAATAATTTTTGATTTACGTGTATTTTTTGTGAGAGAAAATACTGTAGCGAGCCATGAACTATGATTCGAATCAGAAACCGAATCCCCTTACCAAACATCCCTTAAATAAGGTCAATTTTCTATCGTTAGCTTCAACATATATAATGGAGAGTGAGGGCATGATCAGAGAAAATCAGAGGATGTGCTTGGCAGCAACAAAGAAATGAAAGACGAAGGTGGAGTCACGACGATGAGATAAGGTTCAAAATTAAATTTATATTATAGGTAAGGTAGGTCATCAGATCCACGTGTTTCATTGAAATAAAAATAAATAAATAAATAAATAAACTCTTGATTAATATGTTTTATGTCAACACCTCTTGATCCTATTTACGTGGAATGCTGAGATTATTATACCTTCATTTTTTTCCATTCCATCGATAAAATATTTGTTAGTTTTTTTTTTTTTTTATAAAATACAACATTTATTTAGTTAATTATGATAAATAAATAATTAGTTTACAACAATTCTTTACATAGAATATGTTATTTTCAACTACCAATAGTTACTACTATTTTAAATGATAAAGTTCGTTTAAATTTAAATTTTAAATTTAATTATAATAAAAAAAATTTTAAAACAGTCATATTTAATTTTTTTATTATAATAAAAAAAATTATATAAAATTACTCTCAAAAGTAAAAATTTAAATCAAACGAACTCAAAATTAAGGTGAGCACTCACTGTTCGGACAATTATAGGGGATTAAAAAGGACAGGTTTTATCACACGAGTTTTCTATTTATAGCAAGCTTAGAGGGTAACATGGTAATTGCGTGGAAGAGAATGCTCAGCGAGCGAAGCGGGTGCAATAATTTGAAGTACGACCTTCTGAGCCTCTGAGTTGATCAAACCCAGAAAAGCCCAATTCACGAGGGGACCCATTTCTGACGTTTCCAATTAAATTGCTATGTCATTTATTTAAATTTCTTAATGAATAACTTCCTTTTTTATTAGTAAATTTCATGTTATTATAGGCTGTCGAGTCAGAACTGGAAATTTTTTTTTATACTGACATCTGACACGATGGGTAATTGAGAAGCAAAGAAACCTCACCTTTTTTTTTATTTTTTTTATTTTTTCTCTTTTAGTCAACAAAAGAACAACTTTTTTCTCCCTTTATCTAACGGATATTATAGGAAAAAAAAAAAAGGGATACTATTAACAAACCTACATTATATCTGCTTTATTAGTGCAAATAAAGCATTGGTACTTTTGTTACCGGAAACAACCTCCTATCTCCACTTAGCATTTTGTTTTTTTGTTTTTTTGTTTTTTTTTCTAATGGTTTTTACCTGTTAATAAAAGGGTAAATTACATTCATCTGTGTCAACTTATTCATCCATCATAAATTTTTAGATTTGTGTTTTCACAATACAATCCGGTCAATAACATTATGATCCAAAGTGGCACAAGATTTTGGAATTAACTGGACGAGCAATGAAAAGTTTGGGATGTATTAATGCAATATGACTCAAAACATGTTTTTAAATTTAAAGTCCAACTTATAAAAATAAAGAATTAGGAGACTAATAAGTTATTAAACATGACAAGTTCAAGGTGCCCCAGTATCATTAACACGAAATAAATCAATTTTTTTAGGGTAAAACTAAGAACATATATAATTTAACGCTGAAATTTTGCATTTCAATGTCCAAAAGTCTTCACTAATACAAATTAATACGTTATAGTACAAAATATTATGATGTTTTTCTCCTAACAAGTTCTTAAGTGAAAAAACGCAACCCTTTGATATTCAGACCTATAGAATTTTTTTTTAATCTTTCGTCAGTAATAACGGTGATTTTTTATCCAGATTAGTTTTTTTTTTGTTTATTTTAGTGTTTGCCTATTTGGTTGTCATTTTCGTTAGAAATATTTTTTTGTGTGATTTTTTTTCTTTTTGTATAGTCTTAATACTATAGGTTTCTCAATATCAATTGATTGGATTTTTCCATAAGAAACCATACATGTAATTGATCTCTTGTTTATCTTCTTGAATGTTTTTATTTACGGAGCCCGGTATATATACACACACATTATGTTCTCTTAGAACTTTATTTGAGACTTCGAGTTTATTAAGGTCCCGTTTGGTTCGTTAATTTAAATTTTTAATTTGAGTTGAGATATAATGTTGTCTGAGAGCTTTTTATTGTAATAAAAAAGTTAGATGTGACTATTTCTGAGAGTTTTTTTACTGTAACAAAACTTGAATTCTAAGTTAGATGTGATTATTGTTCGGTATTAAATTTCCTGTATTTGTGGTTGTACTGGCTCTTCATGCTTTGAATTATATTTTTCTTAAAAAAGACAATAAACTTGGAAATTTGTAGGTGTAATAGGCTTAGCAGCATACTTAAATTCCAAGTAGTAATCTGTGGGTATTACTACTTGAATTTAAGCTTGCTGCTAAGCCCTTTTTTATGATGTTCATCTCGTGAGGATTATTGTAAACCACGAAACGAACAGGCACATTTATATTCATGTTAGTTAATCACGTTGAACCTAATATTTCTGTACAAAGGAAATCAACGTTTGTTGTTTATGTCTAAAAATGAGGGTAATTCAATGAACCCATAACAAAGCAGTGGGCTAAGGAAGAAGAAGAAAGTAAACTTAACGACAAACTCTTTTTGTTTTTGTTTTTGTTTTTTTTGTTACTTGCCCTCTTCTATTCTTTTTACAATTTCTTGCTCTCGTTTGATGTTGGTAAAGTTAGAGAAAAAGAAACTACTTCTTTTAATTTGTTGGCATGTTTATCTACGTATAATCGGAATGAGCATGAATCGGAGTGGGCAAGATTCAGAGTGGGTAGGATTCGGAGTGAGGAATCGGAGTCAGAATAAACTGTTTACTTAGTGATATGATTCGGAATCGGAATCATTTCAAATTTCATTTATACGTTTATTTACACCTAAAATCGAAATAAAAAAGTGTAAAAGTATTAATATACCATTTAAATCAATTTGATATTTTCAATTTAAAAAATATATTGTGTACTTATTATATTAAAATTAATCATAATTAAAATATTTAGTGTAATAATTGGGTACTAAAATAATAAATTTAAAGTGTACAACTATTTAAAATATAAAAATAAATTTTTAAAAAATTTAAATAAAATAAATAAAAATAAAAATAGTGTTAAAAATAAAATATATTATTAATTTATTAAAAAATAAAGTAAATATTTATTATATTAAAGTTAAAAATAATTATGCTAATATTATAATATTAGACAAATAAAATAATAAATATATGTTGCATTTATTATTTTTTGAATTTTATTTTGAATTGTGTATTTATAAATAAAATAAGAGTGTAATAGTAAATTGATATTAATATTAGGAATGAGAGTCTCAATCTCAAGGGGGCATGAGAATACCAATCTCATTCCTCAATCTCAAATTTGAGTAGGACCCACTAATCTCACTCTCATTTCAGGATAAAAAAGAGCAAGTAAATATGAGATTTTCTCTCATTTTCCATTCTCATTCTTCAATCTTAATAAGTAAACATACCAACTAAAGGTGTTCGAAAGATATTTTGTGATATGATATGGGCATATGGTAGAATAGTGTTGAGAAGGCCATCGATTATGCTGAGAATACATAAAGGTGTTGTGATATGATATTTTTTGAGAATTTTTAATTATAATAAAAAAAATTAAATATTATATTTTTTAATAATTTTTAATTATAAAAATTTAAAATTTAAACTCATAAAATGGATGAAGTCTACGTACCTAACATTTAATAAATTAGTTGAAAAATAAAAGGAGTCTTTTAACTCAATATTTAAGTTAGTTATAAGTATAATCATTTAACTGAAAGAACATGAACATTTGAATTAAAAAATATTTTTAAATTTTAAAATAATATATCATAATATAATTGATTAAATATTATTTTTAAACATTAAGGTGACGTTTGGTAAGGAAATTCATACTCTGATTCGAATTATGATTCATAATTCGCTACAGTATTTTCTTTCATAAAAAATACACATAAATAAAAAATAATTATAATATCATAATTTTAATTCATGAACTAAACGTCTCTAAAAATTATATAGACGATTTGAACCGTATGTAAATTATGAATAATATTACTAAGATAAAAATGGTAATTAAACGAGCATCACCCGTGACAAAAAGAAGGATTCATTTAGCTCAAGAACTCATGATGCGTGGAAGGACCAGAACCTGTAAGACTGGCAGTTAGGCACTATTCAAAAAGATGAAGCCATGGGGCCATGCAGATTTGCAGGGCTCACCTGCAAAAGGATGGTACAAATGTTTGGTAATTTCATTTTATTTTATTTTTTTATGATGCAAATTGCGAAGAGAAATTCAATGATAAATATCTGCAATTTGAAGCGTCTCGAATCTTTATAAAAGATATATATTCATATATATACATGGTCCACCAAGTGTTTACCAAAAAAACAAAAGTGCACATCATGTGCACCTTCTAGCGTGTAATAACTGATTACACAATATATGAGATATGAATCTATTACAGTATAATTGTTCCTTCTGAAAAAAATAAATAAATAAAAAGAGAACAATTTCCCATTTATCATCATATATCAGATCATGGGTCGACATTAACAAAACAAAAAAGCAAAAAAAAAAAAAGAGAGAGAAAAGAAAAAGCAAAAGAATCTGAAAAAAGATTATATAAGTTGATTTGTACAAGAGAATCCATTCCATCTCTGGCCTTTCATCATCAAATCGGAAACATAGTGATTGTTTACTATTTATCTTTGGCAGGGTAAAGCCACAAACTCGCCAGTGCATCCCGTGATACTTTAATCCTCTTTCTGCACACCATAAAGATAAAAATTATGGCACTCGTATAGTTGTATGTATCATCACTCCTCTTTCTCTCTCCTCCATCAATCCTTCTTTTGTCTCTTACCTTGTTTCCTCATTATAATAGCCCAAAACCCTCCTTATAGCTATAGCTAGTCCATCCACATCACTGTTCCAATGCTATAACTCTCTTTCTCTCTCACACACACACACACTTTCTCTCTCTTTCTCTCTCTCTCTCCTCTCAACTATCTTTCTATTTGTTTTTGGTACTACAACAAGTACAAGATTCTATAAAAACTCTCGTTGGGGCCAAAAAGGGTGTCTAGAGAAATGCCAAGTTCAAGCTCATTTTTGAGGCAGTTGAGTGGAAGAGATTATTATCAGGGTTGGAAATCCACATCCAAGAGAATTGGCAATAATATCAGGCAACAACAAATGGAAGGGCTTAACAATATGTATGGTTATAATGGTTATGGTGGTCATGGTGAGATTAATGGAGGAGGAGGGTTGGTCTTGAGGAAGAGAGTGATGGTTGTGGTCGATGAGTCTTGTCATTCCAAGCATGCAATGATGTGGGCCCTCACACATGCGGCTAACAAGGGTGATTTGCTCACTCTTCTTCACATCGTGCCTTCTTCTCATAAGCTTGCATCTGCTTCTTCTTCATCTTCTTCAGCTTCTTCATCTTCATCTTCATCTTCTTCTTCTGGTTCACCATTGCTTGCTAACTCTCTTGGGTCACTTTGCAAGGCCTGCAAACCTGAGGTATGTTCATTTTATCTGTGAGAATCCTTTTACCTGTGATGGGTCTCCATTCTTTTCTGCGTTGGTGTTATTTTCATTGTGTTTAAAGAGATCCTCATTTGTGGGAAATGAGTGAACAGAGAGAAATATGATGTTTCCATTTATTTGATAGATCTCTCTTAGATCTTCTTAGGTGAGGCTTAGTTTATGAATTTAAAATTTTAATTTTTTTATAATTTGTTTCTTTTTTTTCCTGTCATTTTCTCTTCTTTAGAGGTGGAAGGCTAATGATTATTTGTCAGCGTCAGTTGTTGCATGCTTCTCATCTTTCTCTTTTTCTTTTTTGTTTGAAATAATATTGGTAATTTCTCTAGGTGCTCTATATAGTTTTTCACTAGAGAGACGGTGAACCTTGGGAACAGATTTTTGTCTTTTACATTTATCTATTTGTGTGTTCTTGCTTTCAACTTCTAGTCCCTTATTTTAGTAAACATTTTACACTTGTGTTCAGGTGGAAGTAGAAGCTCTGGTGATCCAAGGACCAAAACTTGCCACAGTGTTAAGCCAGGTGAAGAAGCTAGAGGTTTCTGTGCTAGTTCTAGGTCAGAAGAAGACCTCCTCACTTATTAGCTGGTGGGTCCCCCTCTTTTCTTTAACATCATGCACATTCTCCACCGCCTGATCTTCAGAAACCCATTTAGATCTAAGATCTTCAGAAACCCATTTAGATCTTTAGATCTTGACTTGTTTATTAATCAAAATAAACTGTTGTGGGGTTTTGATGCCAGCTTATGTGGGGTCAGCAGCTCAGAGGAGTTTGTTGAGCAGTGCATCAACTCTGCAGAGTGCTTGACTGTAGGTGTGAGGAAGCAGAGCAAAGGAGTTGGTGGCTACCTTATCAACACCAGATGGCAGAAGGATTTTTGGCTCTTGGCTTGAGTTTTAAATGTAGTTATGAATTTATAAATCTCCTTAGTTTAAAATAACATAATTTAGCTTAGTTTAAAATAACATAATATAACTTATCCTCTTTACCCTCTGTATCTACTGACTAGTGACTAAATATTAATAAAAATGTTCTTTTTTTCTCAAAATGATGAAGAAATGTTCAATTTTAACCCAACTGATTGATTAGCAAAAAAAAAAAAAAACTGATATTATTACATGGTAGATTAGAATCAAGAGAATAAGAGGGCCCACTTGAAAAAGTTGTGGAGTTGGTTTATTTGTTACATATTTTAGAAAAGTTTAGTTCGTTAATTTAAATTAAATTTAAATTGAAAAATAATTTTATATAAATTTTTTATTATAATAAAAAAAAATTAAAGTGACTGATTTTTAAAATTTGTTATTATAATAAAATTTAAATTTTAATTATCCGTGAAATAAACGGGTCATAAACTACATAATTGAATCTTGAAATCTTTTCTTAGCTTAAGAATTTCTCTAGTTTATGGTCATCTAAAAATCAATGCACGATTAGTGGATAATAAGCCAATTAAAATTTTTATGTGCAAGCAAAAATAGGGCACATAAGATACACGTCCAGACGTTGAAGATTTTAAAGATTTTCCTGAAAGACATGACTATAATATTTTGAGAGCGTGCTTTAAGTTGATATAAAATTACATTTACTTCTAAAAATCAAAGCAATGATATGCTGAACTCAACATAGAAAGAACAAACAAGGCGATGAAGATATTCCCAAAGGGGGGAAAACATATGTCAAAATTTTAAGTGATCTAGTGCTGAGTCTAAATAACAAAGACCTGTGAGTTTGTTCCTTTTAATTTGTTTCATTCTTTCCTATTAAACCCTTTTACCAACTGCCATGAACCCGAATTCATGACTTACTTTTAACCCATCAGACCTTATCATCTAGTTTATCATTTACAAGGGGGAGCAACTCCATTCGGTTTCGGGGAGTACGGGGTGTTCGAGGAGTGCCTGGCGGCTGTTGCGAGAGCAAGTGCCTCACATACCCGTAGAATGTACACCCTACAAGTGTCACTGCACATCCGACCGCATTCAAACTTGAGATTGGGTTGCGGAATATCATCCATGAAACAAGAACAGCAACTGCAACCTGTAAAGGGTAAAAATACAAATGCCATGAGACCATATCTAGTATAGCTAGAAAGACAATATATTGCTTCGTCATGAATCTATGGTAAACAACAAAATTCAACCGTCTTGAATCAATGTTTGTTTTACGGATAACCTATACACTTGGTAGACAAAACGCACCGCTTGTTTGAACATGGCAATAATTTTACCTCATTATATTTCAAGACGTGAAAGTCACAATTAATACACGCATGTCAATATATATAATCTTAAGTACCACTATTCAGATTAAAACTTTTACCTTGAGGTTCCCAGCAACGTTGAATGTTACAGCAGTGGTGGAATGAATGACGTAAAAAATGGAGAAGTTGAGACAGAAAGCCAACACCCCAGAGCTTAAAATGATGATGAGGGAAGAGGTAAGAGACTGATGAGTGTGAAGCCATTCCAGAACCCCATTTCCTTCGAGTAGCATTGCAGGTACAGCCAAGATCATGGTTGCAAAAGGCGCCATGTAGTACACCGTGTTTATGCTAAAAGGCGTCCAAAGAGTCGACATAAGTATGCCAACATAAAAAAACCTTACTACTGGCCAACATTAGTAAGCCCAAGTACTTGGTAAAAAGTTCCGGGCAATAAATAAGCCAGTACAAATAACTTGAGAAGCTAAAATTATTTTGATTTGATTCTAAGGTCTAGTTCAGTTCGTTGATTCGAATTTTTAATTTAAATTTATATGTGACTTTATATAAGAATTTTTAACTAAAAAAAAAAAAATTAAATGTAATTTTTTATGAAAATTTTTAACTATACTAAAACTTGAATTTTAAACTTAAAACGGCAAAATGAACGGCCTTAGTGGTGCCTGTCTGCTTTCATATGTTGTTTTTGGGACTTTGCATGTCGCTGCTGCCTTCTAAAGTTGTTAATGATTATGGACTTGTTCTTTTGATGTTTTTGAGTTAGGTAACTTGAGTGTAGATTTTAAGTTGAGTTTGAGTTATAACTTGAATTGAAGTAGTAATTTGAGTTTCTGTTTGGTTGTGTACATTTGAGTTATGGTTTGAGATAAGAATCTTTTTTGAGTTTGTGTTTGAGTAAGTCAAAACTTGAATTTGTATTTAGATAGTATTTTAATAAAAACTCAATGCTGATGAAAAATTTTAATAGGGTATATGAGTCTAATTTTATTCGTCTTTTCATTGTTAACGCATAGAAAAAAATATCATCTCAATCAGAATTAAAACAAAAAAGTTATATCATTTTTAAGAATAGAAAAAATATTGTTCATTAACTTGAGTTCGAGTTTCTGAACTCGAGTTGAAGGGGAAACTTGAACTCGAGTTTTAGTTCCAAACTCGAGTTCAAACTCAAGTTTAAACTTAAAAGAACATGAACTCGAATAAAGTTATAACTCGAGTTACCTTTTTTTGAGTTTTTAACTCAAAAATCACCCTGCCGAACAAGGCCTATGTTTCTTGGGAAACTGGTACGTAGTCTTTGGCTTACAGTTTTTTGTTTTGTTCGGTGCTTTCAGTGGTGGGGTGCCTTTCTGTTTCTGTGTGTTGTTTGTTCTGGTTGGCTTCTTCCCTTTCATCTTCAACCTTTTTTTTTAAATAAAAAATATTTTCTTAAAAAAAATGGGAAAAAGAAAAGATGTTCTTCACTTGGGTTGAAGACATGCGTGCACTTAAATGAAGGAAGATAAAGGAAAAAGAAATGTTTTGTAATTCAGAAGCACAGATGGCTGAGCAGCTAGAGATGGGAAAAAGACAAATTGTGGCAAGGTGTAGAATTTGGGGAAAGGAAGAAACGTAGCCTCCTTCATTTTATCGATTCAAGTTTTCAATTTCAATTTTTTACAGTTAAAAGTTATCACAAAAAGTTACACCTAACTTTTTCTATTACAGTTAAAAGCTCTCACATAAAGTCACATCTCAACTCGAATTAAAAATTCAAATTGGCGAACTGAACGATTGAATTTTACCCGACATTTTCATTCCCCACTTACTGAAAAGGCATTGGAGAAGATACAGAATTTTGAACAGTGCAAGTTTTATATATGTCAAGTCATGAAACTTGGAAACCAATGTAGAAAACAATAGACATAAAAGAAAGCTAGCGTGCTAAAATCTTAATGTCTTATTCAACAAATATTTCTCCTAAACAGTAATATGTTCCCGCAACAAATTATAGATGAAAACCACCGATTTGGGGCTTACATCTGGTGACCAAAGTGACTTTGTCAATACTCAACTCTTGGCTTCTATGTTAACATTTTTTTTTTCCTAATCTTTTTTTTTTTTAATCTTCTTCTGCATAATGCAAAACAAATTATCCTCATAAACCTGATTACAAGTTATGCCTAAATTCATGCAAGCGGATATTGACAGCGATATCTAGGAAAATAGAAAATGATACCACACAAAAAAATCTGCAATTTACAATGAGGAAAGGAAAAGAAGACAATTTATAAATCCTTGAGGAAAAAAAGTTACAATAGGGAAATCTCAATTGACAGATTAAAAGAAATAAAAACAATAAAAAGACGGACAGCGCAATATTGAACGAAACCTGAGAAAGAACAAGAACAAAGTACCTGTCAAATTTGTATCCGTGCAATAGAGATTCCGCAAGGATAGTTTTCGTGGAAGTAGCCAAACAGCCAAATAAGGCAGCACAAAATCCGAATGCGTTAAAACTAAGCTCTGTAACAGAAGTTAGAAGAATCCCTCCAACAATGGGTATCAAAGAAGTCCAAATACGCCAATCAAAGTACTTTCTCCAAACCAGCCACTGTAAAACAACTGTTCAATTTGTTGATGTCAGATTTAAATCCAACATTTCACAAAAAACATACAGACAGGCAAGGATTGGAGCTATGAAATTCAGTCATCAACATAAGAGCTTACCTGTGGTTGCGGGGGTGAATGACTTTATAGTTTGCATAAAAGAAACTGGAATGTACCGCAGGCTGACATTCCCCAACACTATGTTAATACAGAACACAAACGACATTGGAAATATCCTTCTCCAGCGATCTTCGGTGTCAACCACTATTAATGGTTTCATCTTGAACACCTTAATTACCAGGTAAGCTCCAATGGCAGAGCATATGAAATGAATACATGACACTGATAGAGGAAACGTGAAATCCAGTTTCTGCGGAGGAAAAAAATTAACATAATTTAGAATGGAAACAGTTTGGCGCGTGGGCAGCAAACTTATTAATAGACAATGACCAAGTTTTCCAGATCTAGCTAAAAAATGAATACAATATTTTGAAGAAAACCCGGAAATTTAAGGGAAACTCAGTTCAAACATATTCTACGATTATAAGAACAATTTTCTTCATCAATCAAGGCACAGACAGATCAAGTATTCAGCCTAATGAAAGGAAAAAAAAAATAACCGAGGAATTTTAATAGGAACTAAATCGGCCAATTACAGAGAGAAAACATTTATAGCCTTTTGGGAAAACAGCATCATTATTTCGTTTGGAGCAACTAAAGAAGGTAAAAACAATGGATCGGTGAGAATTCAAACCAAGCAATCACATATTCAAACAATTACATACTTTAGATGTATGTAATTAGTCGACATAAACATAATCAATACAAATCCAAATCGACCAAAATTGATTCTAGCCCATGTTTATACACCTCTTCTGAGAAGAAATACTAAGTTTCTGAGAAGTTAAACGCTAAAGTTTAACAAAATCCAAATTGAAAAAGAGCCACATTTTTAGCCTTCCAATTTGAATGCTTTCTCTTAGTTCTTATACGTCAAAAAGCACAACAATTCGTGAGAGTTTGAGAAAATTCAAATGCAAATCGGATGAATCGGAGCAGAAATTAAATGAACAAAAAAAGAAAGATACAGAATCATGCGAACATAATTGGAGAAAACAATGAGAAAATCGGAAGGGAATTGACAGAAAGAGACCTGAAAGATCCACTTGTTCACGACAATCACAGCAACATTGAAACTCCACCATTGAATAATCGCCAAGAGAGATCTAATCACGCTCCACTGGCAAATCCAAGACTCCTCCATTTTTTTCTTTTCTCTCCTCAACTCAGATCACTCGAATTCAACCAGCCTCAAACTCCAATTCCCCAACTTTCCCGAGAAAAGAACAGAAAACTCGAAGCAAAAAAACAAAAAACAGCTGAAAAGGGCCAATCCAAACAGCGAGAAAAGGAAGATTTGGATCACGGCAATATCCTCAAGAACCCTAAAAAGGAAAGAAAAGAAATGCGAAGCGAGAGAGTGTAACCGAAGATGAATTCTCTAAAACGTTTCTCTCTCTCTCTCTCCTCTCTTTCTCTCTCTATCTTTCACGCCATGGGAGCAGTGGAAGAAACAAGAACAACGCTTGAGAATTTGTGAAAAGGTTTTTCTATTTGTAGGCCAAAAGGTTTTTTTTTTATTTTTTTTATTTTTAGTTATTTTTTATTTTTCAATATTGTAAACGTCAAAGGTTTTGGGGAGGGGTCAAAGTGATGAGGAAATCTCAGCCGTTGATCAGCTATGAAAGTTTTGATTTGGGGAAGTTTGGTATTTGACCACAATTTTTCTTTGAATCTTTGATGGCTTTGTGGGGGACTTGTTTGGTAGGGCTCTACTAGTTCTAGTTAGTACTAGGACTGGATGACCCTGCCCCTAGTGGGAACTGCTCTAACAATGTCATTTTTGTTTTTTTTATTTGGTATTGTAATCGGTAAGATTTTATTTTGAAGTATTAGATTTGTTTTAGAAATTGTTAAGTCTTGTGTATAAAAAATGTTTAGATATAATTTTAATCAGATTTAAGGTACAAAATATACACTGTTGAGAGAAAATTCAAGTCACAACTCAAATTTTTTTACGTAAAAAGAACCATTATAGTAAAAAAAAAAAAATAAATTTAAATTGTTGTGAGAGAAAACATATAAAAATAAAAAAATTGAGTTGTCAAAAAAAAAAAAAAACAATACTTAAAATTGAAATCTCTCTCTCCTTTTTTTTTTTTTTTTTTTTTTACTATAGAGTTTTTATGGTTTACATTTAAACGAATTTAATTCTCTCATGAGCTAAGCATTGTTCCATCCCTCTAATTTCACTCACCATTTCTTACGTATTATTGACCATTGTTTAGGCCTTAGAAGATATATTTTTATTTGTATTGATCGAGTGCATATATGTCGTGTTCACATGGAAGGAATTAATGAGACTTTATGGTGAAAATAATAGTTTTAGGAGAAAAGGGGTAAGAATGAGAAATGATTTGTTGAAAAGAAGGAAAAAAATAACAGAGAGAGACATGTCACACACAGATAAAGATTAATGAGATTTACCTTTCAATTAATTCCAAGAAATGTACTCTATTAAAATAAAAAAATAAATATAAAAACTGTATTGCGCATGGCTTATACTATAATTTGATTTTATCTCTAAAACTTTTGAAAACTTTTAGTTGTACCCCTAGTTTATGTCAAAAATTATACTTATGGCCTACTGAGTATTAATAACTAAAATATATCGTTATGCCCCCATTTCGCAAGGAAAGTTATAATTATGACACTAAAAAAATGAAAACAAAAATTTGAGGCATTTTTACCCCAAAATGTTGTTGCATTTTATATTTAAAGATAGAAACAGACATTAAATGATAGGTTGATGATCTTTACCTTAACTATTCTGAATTTCTGTAAAGCATTTTTTTTTTTAACTATTTTCTTTAGGCATATTTCTTTTTTAAATGATTCACTTTAGGCATAGTGTCTGTGTTTGTTATCATTGTGCAGTATACTTTTGAGTTTCAATGCGGTTATAAGCTTTAACCGTGATGAAATAAGCTATGTGTCACTTTCTTTGAAGGACTTGCATAAGCCACATAAAACAGTAAAACACCGACAAAATTATTTTTTTCTTCTTCTTCTTCTTCCCTTTTTTTTTTTTTTTTTTTTTTTTTTTTCTGGGGGTTTTTGGGTTTTTTTTTTTGCTCGAGGGATTTTGGAGTTAATGTCATTCTTTAACTAGGGAAATATAATGTTTCTTTAAAAAAAATAGTGAAAAATAATGAACGCATTAACGCAATCAGTTATGTTTGCCAATTGTGACAAGACGTGTTAACAAGCACGTTAACTCTCGTGAACAATGTTTTTCAGCTAAAAAAAGAGAGTGATAAATAAGATGCCGCCTCAGCTATTATTTTTAAACTAGTTTATTTTTTATTCTTCTATTTTCCTGGATTCTCTGGTGGCTAGATTTTAGTTAGAGATATTGACATGATCCACTTAATAAAATAGGAGTAATTATTTCCTAATAAGTCAGTTTGCTAGGTTGAGTTAGGCTTAATATTCTTTAATTTTTGTAAAATGGTATCAAAACAGGCTCAATTTTGTAATGTTGGGTCCCCTAATATCGATTTATTTGCAGCGGTTTGACATGGTTCATGTTGTGCGTGAAGAGGCGTATTAGAATCTCATATTGACTGGAGATATTGGTATGATCCACTTAATAATGTGAGGACAACACTCTCGTAATAAACTGGTTTGCTAGGTTAAGTTAAGTCTAATATCTTTTAAATTTTTGTAAAAAATCTTGATGAATCAATCTGTATTCTGTAACCGAACCCCTAAAAACAAATGAATATTTATATTTTTTACAGTTTTCTTTTTAATACAATGCCTAATGTATTTGATTACAAGTTTTTTCACAAGATGCATATGTAAATTCATCAGTGCACGAGTCAAAAATTCTTATAATAATAATAATAATTATAATAATAATAATTATTATTATTATTATTATTATGGTACAAAATGACTAATAATATGTACAAATTTGACATGATATCAAAATTGATTTGAACGCATCTAAAATAGTAAAATACTTCGTAAATGTTTTTATAAACTCCAAATATAGCGAATCAGTAATGAAGAGCCTTTTTTTTTTTCTTTTTTTTTTTTTACACTAGGCGTGTACTATTTTTAACTTTAAATCACAGTTTATCCCTCCCTGGTTATAAGAATATTCCTTCCAACTTGACTTGATATGTTTCTTTCTTCCAACCTCCATCCAAAATCCAGACTAGATGGATTTCTTAAAAGTGTTTGAAAAACTACTCCGAAAATTACCCGCTGGTAAGATTATGGATTAATTTCAAAAATTCTCCGTGACCCATGTAATACTTTAAATTTTAAAATATAATATATGTTTTTCTGAACTTTGTTTCATTAATAATTTTACCCCTTACGTTACATTGAGTGACAAAATTCACCACGTGTTCATTATTTAACTCATATGATGAGGGTAATGTCGTAAAATATCCTGTAAAAACCCCAGGTTATTAAAAAATAAATTAAAATGCATCAGTTTATCAGGTTATTAAAAAAATTAAGATTTGCTCCAAAAACATTTCAAAATTTGCTGCTATCTGAATATTAAAGAATTGACAAATATACCTTTCTCCTAATTAGCAGAAAGATGAACAATATCGATAAATAGAAGTTGTCTAACATCTAGATTTCATTTTTATTTTCATCACTTTTCATCCCTTCAAGGGTTTTGTATTGGCTTTGGGCATTTCTTATGGGTTTGCTTAAATAAAGCCACCATTTAAGGGAAAAAAAAAAAAGAAAAAAAAAAGAAAAGAGAAAGAAAAAAAACATCTCTTCCTTTAAAGAGATTGATTGGGTACTTTCTTTTCGAATGATTAGGTTTATAGATCTATTAATATATTTTGCATTGCACATAGTTCAACTTTACAGATAATACACAAAACCCATAAGTAATAGTTCAACTTAATAATGTTGATGATGATGAAGAAAAAAATCTGGATATTGGGGTCTCGTCGAACGCACGTCAACCTCTGTGAGTGGTGCCGCCGAAGAAGATGACTGATATGGCTTCAGCATTGGTGCCCAGAGCGTTCACGTTCGCATTTGCTCACGCTAGCTCCATGCAATCTGAGAGCAAACTTAGAGTCGGTGATGGCGGTACCGGAGGAGGTGGAAATAGTTTGAAACTTTTTGGAAATTTTTCGGATCTCTCCCTTAGAATATGATTTTTGAGAGGAATCATGAAATCTAGTTTTGGATAAAATGATGCAATAATGCTCCTTCCGTTACCAGTGATACTTAACGAAGATGGGCATAAGCATAATTCTACTTTCAAATCTCACTAAATAATGGACACGTGACGAATTTCGTCACTCAGGTAACAGAATGGGTAAAATTGTTAACAGAATGGGCAAAATTTTTAACAGAATAAAGTTTGGGGGGATCGGATGTTACGTTTTAAAATTTGAGGGGCAAAGCGGTCATAGTTCAGGGGAAATTTTTGAAATTAATCCTAAGATTATTCATTTCCCTCGATAATTGGTCAATATCCTAAACTCGAATCAATTTCATTACGTTATGTAGCATATATAAGCATATCTCTATTATTTAGTACGGCGTGTTTTTATATAGGTGAGTATAAGGTTCCGTTCATTTTACCGATTTGAGTTTATAATTTGTGTTTTGTTACAGTGAAAAGCTTTTAGAAACAGTCACGTCTAATTTTTTTGTTACAGTAAAAAACTCTCATATAAAGTCACATCTCAACTCGAGTTAAAAAGTCGAATCAGCGAACTAAATGGGCCCTAAGCACTTATCATCTCATTTAAAGTGTGAAAAATACTTTATTGATAAGATATTATTTTGAGTCCTAAAAATTTTCATTAAGTTTCTATTTTTTTTAAAAAGATTTTACTACACTTTTCATCTTTGGCCATATTAGGAAATGTAAAGCACTATAATTATATGTATCGGTATTATTCAAGGAAAAAGAAATGGTTAAACTTACTCTTAAAATAATGAGTTTAAATTTTTATTTTCTACTCATAATTAATACCATTTTGTTAATATAATTATTTAATTAAAATGTATTAATTAAAAGTAAAAGGTAAAAAAATCAAGATCTATTCTATGAACATTTGTCAAGATTTCTCCTTTTAAGAAAACATTTTTCTCGTTGTTTGGAAGCAATCCAATCCACGGGAAACGAAAGTGGACGGACACCTTATTTGTGATTTGTGTTATTTTTGGTGTGAGCACTGAGCATTAGTTTACAAGTCAATAACAACTTTTCTTCTCACGTCTACAATCAAACCATACTATGTAGCAGTTTAGCACAAAATAATATGCCAAAAGAGATTCTTTGGCATGACATTTGAGATTTGAGATCGTTGGAGACCCACCCCCCCATTTATTTCCTCCTTTCGCTCTTGACGCGTCTCCAAACGACAAATCCCACCCCTATTTTTGTTCTTTCCCTTGACGCATTACACATAAAACGACACGCTACACGCAAATGATAACATGCAATATATAGAAG